GTCAATATTAAACGATGCGTCGCTGCGTATCCTTGTTTGGAAACGTTTCTGATGTCTTTGGTTTTGTTTGATGTTTGTGTTTGTTCTTCAGTTTGTACATAATCGGATTTTGGTTGGTGATTATGAAGTATGATGAAACGGCACCCGGAAAATAAAATAAACGAATGCACCAGCCACATAAATTCTAATTTTTACGTAAACAAAACAGAACCGGGTGCCACTTAATTTATTTAAACGCTGTGACAGGCTGTTTTTGGTGTAAGAGTGTTGCGTGGATGCGTGAGTGCTTGTGAATGAAAATATACGTCAAACGGTTTTTGCCTAACGCTGCGTGGTCCACGTCTTATTGTTGATGTTTGTCAGGGTGGTGAATTTTTTGTTTATAACAGATGAGCGACGAATTACTAATAGAGGTATGTTGTAATCAATGGTAGCAGCGCAGAATCCGCATTCTAAATGTGCTTCTGACGGACGTGAAGTGAGATTCCTAATATTTCCGCTTCTTAAGCTACTTTTAGAGCGTCATTCCTCAACATAAAGTTTCCTGAATTACTAAGCTAGAATCTAATCGTAACGAATTGGAATTCTCTTCCAAATGCTGGATAGTAGTTCCAAAATTTTTAGGAAAGTTTCGTAGATGATCAAAAACTCATTTCTTGGGTCAGTGGTCGAGTGATTCACGAGGAAGATAATCCTGCATATGCAGTTGAAGCTTGTCAAACCTATGCTGTATCGTTTTTGCATCAAAGGTGTCTCAGATGCTGAGCTGCAATGCCGAAGATGCACGCTTCCTGGACCCTACTGAAGTATGCGTAACGATAAAGAAGTTTCAAATGGCTGATCGCTCCTTTTGATTATTGGTTCTCAACATTGACGTGTCTCGACGTCCACGTTCATCTGTCTCATGCGATTTATCGCCAGAGGTTTTCATGTTTCTTAACTCATCGTTATCATTTGAACCGGTTTGCCAATTAGGTGCTCTTGGATACCAAGCCGTCATTGTTGCGAGTCCATCGGTCATGTGATGTAAACACCCGTAAGTCAATTCAAGCTGCATGCAGAGGACTCATGGCCATTGTCACTTATGCCTTTAATTTCACTCAGTCTTGGCAAATGGTTGTGGCTACTCTCTACGCTTGCCGAACATCTTTGCTCAAGTGTACGTTTGTCTCTCACCCTGGCCGAATGAGGTAATAGATTACGGTTTAATGAGATTTGGCCCGCTCCCAATATTACCACGTTAACTCAAGCACAGTCATTTCTTCTCCGCACACATGGCAGTGCCTCAACGGTTTAAACATGGTATTATTATTCAGATATATGAAGGTGGCAGATTCTTGCTGAGACCGGTTAATCAAGCATTCTCACATTAACCTCTTGCTTAGAGAGCAGATTTTCCCATCGATTATTATTTTCAATTGCGAGTGACGGGCAGAAAACTGGAGAATGCAAGCGACGTCATCAACAAAACTTTTGCATTGTTTTTCTTGTGTTGGATCATCAAACATTGAAGATGGTTTCAGCTGGCATGAAACTTTCCTGCAATTCTGAACGCGTTTGATTTCAGCCATTGTCTGAAAGTACCTAGCCACTTGTAAGCTAAAATTTCAGACAACGAAATGCTGCCAGTTGTGGCTGGTTATCGATTATGCTTGTTATGCGGAGGTACGTCCTCCCAAGTCACAACGTGGAACTCATCGTCATGAGGCGAAACAGCTGGGGATAACTGGCGGTATTTCTAACGGACCTTGCTAGCTGATAGCCGTGCTGCGGACAGATTCCATCAGTGGCCTATTTTCTCTCTCCGAAAGCATGTGCGATGCTGCTATGTGAATGAATGAACGCCAAGATGAGGAAGATTACGAGGGCGGCCATTAGTCTAACTATACTCTTGGATGGTATTACGATGAACGAGGAAGTGACCATTCAAACACTCGAGACTAATGACAGTGAGTTTCGGACTGGCATTAGCGAGTTATGGCGATTGACATGAAGATCACCATTATGGGAGCAGCTGTACTTACGGTGCTCATGTAGTTTCGAAGCAGTTTGCGTCTTGAAATGCCGTAAGTCTCGTCTAGACAGCTTTCAGCAAATTTGTGCAATATCTTCAAAGTGCAATGGTACCATCGGATCAAAAAGGACCAATAAGACGCTAACGATCTCTGGTACGGCGAAACTATCAGATGGACACAAAGATAAGCGCAAAATATGGTTTGATAGAATGAACCAACGAAAGAAAGGATTTCTATTCACACTTTTCTGGCTTGCTTACTGTGCGATGGCTGTAGACACGTTTGATGACAATTGAAAATGTGGAAGCACCTCCTTGTGACAGATTTGCTTGTGAACAGGAATACGACCTTTGTCACACAAGTGTCAATCTACAGTAACATTTTTATGGTCTAGACACCATGAATCTGAACTGCTCCGCTATTTAAGTTCTGACAACCTCAAATAGCGGTGATAGAACAACATCTTGACCTTATTGACGTACCTTCATTCTATCCTGACGATCGTACGGGAAACATCACATTATATCTGTAAACTACGCAGCTGGGGGCCTTTAAAAAACTGCAGTGACACTGACGGGGACGTTGGTGCGTCTCTTGCCCTAACGTATGCTGAGGATGTTTCATTGCCTCATGCACTGTCCAGCAATGACTTCACCGTGATCCGTTGCTGTCTAGCAGCAGCTGTCATACGGCATAGAGATGCGTATTAACATTTTGAGAAGAACGTATGCCAGAACAGAAACTTATGGATGCTCTGTCCCACCACCCCTGGCTTCCGTATCATGTGACCCAGATAGAGACCGATCTGACAGAAAGCCTGCATGCGTCTCAAGAATGATATCAGTCAATATCTCATAGGACATATCGAGATATCATATTCCATTTTATCGTGTGAAAGCCAAGCTATGAGAATAAGACACCAACATGGACGTTTGTTACCACTGCAGTTTCCGTCATTAGAGTTACAGTAATGTTTCTTGCTCAGCCGTAATTCGGCATCTCACACAGTGCTACGAGCTGTGTACAGGCCTGGCCATTTGGGAAACAGGTGCACGAGTTCGTAATGCCTCAGGACCTATTAAAGGGCGAAGCCATCGGAGACCTTTTGCAAATGACGAATGTTCTACTCGTAAATCAACATGTCACTTAGGCACAAGTTCTGCGTCCTCAGTGCGGTGCGTGGCGGTGTCGGCGGGTATCAGACAAAACGAGGTCGTGAACTGACAGCCCACATGCAGAAGGATCTGTACAAATATGTTTCACGCCACCAACGGCAACCGGGGCCGTCAGAAAATTATAACCGACCCGTCAACACGAAACAGGCGCCGATTTTCATTTCACCACTTTGTATTCATAATTTGTTATTTTGATGAAGCTTTGCGCAAATACAGCTGACAAATTGAATGGATCGACGCGGAGTTCACCAAATAAACCTAACCATTGGCATTTGGAAAATTTTCTCCAAACGAATTTACGTACAGACATGCTTTTCATCGATGTGAGGTTTGTAACGCTAATCGTAATCACCAGCCATTGACGATGTACTGTTGAGTGAAAGTCTCTCCTATACTTCGCCATAGACATAAGTTTTTTGCAGTTTTAATTTATTTTAATCCACCGAAGTTTTCCAGCTTATCCTGTCATCGATCTGGAGGACTTTCTACGGGCCGTTTACTCTCTACTTTCTTTTTGAACCTCGTTCTTCTTGCAGCGCGTCCTGTACATTGGTACTTCATTCCGTTTGTTTTCAAATATAGGCTTCTATATATTAGGAATATGGGTAAATGTCATTCGCTTTGCAAACAGATGAAACTTAATGCAAGACAATAACTTTGAACGTGATACAAGATTTTCTTTTGATCTCATGTGTCGACGTCCGGCAGAAGCATCATAATCATAGGCGCTACACAAATTACAATGATACAAACATAATGTTTAATGATATGAATGCTGTAATAGGGACAATTCTATTACATTGGATTTCCAGTGTTGACCAATTCAAGGGGTGCAATGAACGTTATTTCCCTTCTATCTGTTGACATGATCCATCAGGTATCAATCCTTCTACGTTCAAAGGGTAGGCGGTTTGATGAAAAGGTTTCGGCATGGCGTCTGTCAGTAATTATTATGGGAAGTGATGGCCATTCCTTCCATCTGGGTTTGTAGCCAGAGTGGCGTTGCGAAGACAAAAGAAACTCTTTTAACCCGGATCACCAAAACCTCGTTAACCGACCAATCATGGTTCAGAGGAAGGCTTTAGGGATGTATTACTACTTCTGAAATAGGCTTTCGACCGTATCACGCAATCCACCAAATTGATCGTTGCCAGCTGTTAGCTAGTAGACAGGAGTATGGATTGTAGAGAGCATATTGTGATTTGCAAATCCTAAAATTTAACGACGCAGAATTAGGAATGGAATGTTGCTGCAGTAACATATAGAATAAGGTAGCTATTTCACCGATGAGCAACATGTTTGATATGCTCCTCGATAATCTCAGTTTTGTCGCACAAAACAAGACAGAGGACGAGTGTCGCATTTTGAAATCGTCACATATGAGTGGTTGCTTTCATCAAAGAGCTTTAGTTCTATGCTCAGCACAGCGTGTCACGAAACTGTGTCACGTTAGCCATCTCACAAAGCATCATTCAATATTTGCAAAATGAGGTACTTGTAAAAAGAGTTCCATGTTTATTCGCCAACCAGTGGTCATTGCACATCGTTGAAGGAGTACCTGATCAGCGAAACCTGTTTTGCCCGGTAAAACGCGAACATTTTCGATAGCACCACAGAAACTCGTTTCTTGTTCGGTTTTGCCTCATATCACTTTAAGCTTCTGAAAGGGACGCTCGACTCTTGAACATCTCGACAAA